TGTCCGTCTGTCTCTGTTGTGAGCACCAGCCAGAGGCGCCGTCCAGGTCTCCAGCAGCAACTATGTGCCCTCTCTTTGCCTGGGTCTCTGGTGGGCAGAATTCAGATTTGGGCCGAGTTAGCCAAAGTGGCCCGGAAGCAAGGTGTGTGGGACGTCTGCCGGGCCGCCAGTCGCTTCTGCCTGTTGTATGACAGCGTGAAGGTCAGGAAGCCGGCCAAGGTCAGACGAGGTGTGTGCTCTGTGCACAGCCAGTGAGGCCCGGCCGTCTGCTGTCACTCATGCCCACACGGCCGGCGTCCTGAGTGCAGCCTCTGTAGGGATGGGGAGGTGGACTGGATGAAGCTGCAGGGAGGAGTCTGGGGGAGGGACCGTGGCCGGCGGTGTGGACAGAGGGGAGGCGGGTGCAGGCCCCCAGGGCTCTGGTCGGTGTGGCCATTAGCACGCAAAGTGGCCAGTGGGGGGGCAGGCCAGGCACCGTCTGGCGGACTCGGGCAGCCTGCGGGGACACAGGACCCACTGGGCAGACTGGCTGTGCTGGGTGCCCCCAAGGGGGGAGAACTCTGAACAGAACCAAGCCAGCACCGGGCCCCTCCAGGAACAGCCCTGCCCGCCACCGGGGTCCGTCCTGCTCGGGCTGGGAGGGCAGGGAGTCGTGTGTCTGTGGTCACGGACAGACGCCACTCCTGCCCTCATCAGCCGTGGTCCCTCAGGGAAGAAGAAGCGCGGCCAGGACAGTTCCAGGCACAGCAGCTCGGGCCAGTCGGAGTTCCCGCTGCAGCGGCAGGAGGCCCCCGACCTGCTGCGGACGTTCGCCGAGGTGGGCTTCATCAGCGCTGAGGTGCGTGTGGGCGCGGCCCCATGTGTCCTCCCGCCCGCTCCTCACGTCCACCTGCCCAGCCGTCTGCTGTTCACGTCCGAGTGTCCTCCCATCCGCGTGTCATCCCGTCCACTGCTCATGTGTCCTCCCGTGCACTGCTCACGTCCGTGTGTCCTCCCACCCATTGCTCACATCTGTTATGTCTTCCCAAACACTGCTCCCGTCCACTGCTCACGTCCGCGTGTCGTCCTGTCCACTGCTCACGTCTGCACCCTCATGGTCCACAGGTCACATCCATGTATTCTCCCACCCTCTGCTCATGTCCACACATCCTGTCATCCACTGCTCACATCCATGTGTCCTCCTGTCCGCTGCTTGTGTTTCTGTGTCAGTGCATGTGACGTGTCCAAGTGTCCTCACAGCCCACTGCACATCCTCACGTCATCAGTGTGGTGGGTAATTTACTTGGTGTAACTCAGATGTCTGTCCCATGCCCAGCTCTCCATGCATGGGACGTGGCTTGGCCACAATAAGCCAGGTGGCCGACAGCCATGGTGGGAGAGTCAGTGAGGGCACAGGCAGCATGACCCTCCAGAGGCCACTCCCTGTGACATGACCTTCTGTCCCGCCAACCCACGTCTGAGAGTGTGCCCATCTGTCTGCCCCTGCTGTGTCCCAGGCATACCTGTGAGGCGCTCGGGGAGTTCATGTTGGCTGAGCTAGAGGGGATGGCTTGGTGCTGGGGCATGATCGTGGGTTTAGGCCTGTGTTCTTCTTCGAAGTGAGTGATGGATGGGGGACAAGTGGGAGGGGCCTGGCTGTGCACCTCAGCGTGGGGACCATGTCCCACCTCACCAAGTTCACTCTGTAGGCCACAGTCCACCTGCTGCGATCTGAAGGGGTACAGCTTGGTGACCGACCCATCCCTCCTGAAGACTTGAGCCAGCACCCGGCTGGCTATGCAGCCACACCCCCAGAGGAGAACTCAGAATGGGTCACGTACAGGTAGGGGCTCTGCTGGGTCCCCCCTCAGGCGGCAGGATGCCCAGGTCTGCATTCTCTTCTCCGCACCCTCAGGACAATGTGGAGGGACATCGTAGGGTGTCCAGTCCCGCATGAGTCTCTGAGGGCAGCAGGCATGAGACGGAATATAGACAATGTGGTCTGGAATTCAGCCACGTGACCTGGCTGGCCACAGGCTCAGGTCACTGCTATCGCCAAGCTGGCTGCCCTCCAGGATGTTAAATTCAGACTCTATCTACTTCCTTCATCTGTCTTGTTATTGGTGAAAGTGGGGTGGGACAACTGGGGCAGGGCGGTGTGTCCTCCCGTCCACTGCTCGCGTGAGCAGAGCTGGCCCAGGCCCAAGTGTGTTGGGGAAGGCAGTGAGGAGGGTGGGTGGGGGTGGGCCAGAGGCCCCCTGCTGTGTGCAGCTCCCATAGAGGCCCCAGAGCAGGGGCGTCCACCCTGCCTGTTTTGGATGGTTCTGTCCCAAACACGGTCTTGTGCTGTGCACCGCAGCACCTGGATCGAGAACCTGTCACAGTACGCCATGAACAACTGGCTACGCTCAGCGGAGATCGGGCAGGAGATCCACGAGGCCTGGATCGTTCAGAACGCTGTGGTCTACGTGCTGAACCACAGCCACCACCTCATCACTGCCGGGCGTCAGAGGGAACTAGTGGACACACTGCACACGCTCCTGAGCATTGTCAAGACCGTCGGCCACAACGGGTGGGGCCACCGCAGGCTTCACACGACCCCGCACTGGCGGGAGGGGTCGGGTCTTGCACCCCCGGTGCTCAGTGAGGCAGGCGGTCTCGTCCCAGAAGCCACGCTGTGGCTCTGCAGTGGACTGATGGGCACTGACTCCTGCCTCCATCCTGAGTATTGAGGTGTGGGCATGTTTGCAGCAATGCACATGGCCCTGGTTTAAACCCATCCAATTCTGTGAAAGTCACAGCCAAGGGAGTGCCGTGGAGTGGTTCCACTGGAACACGCAGGTCACCACCAGGCGAAGCTCGCTCCACCACAGGGGCTTTGACTTGGCGGTGGGCCTGCAGGCTCAGCCCGTCACCCATGGCCCCTGGTGCACCCCTGCCCCTGCCTGTCCCATCTTGGTGTCCCCTGGGGATGCAGCCCCACATGTGACAGTAGCACAGTCAAGTGAGGCCTGGGCATAGCCGCTCCTGCTGGCGGTGACATGTGGTGGCCCCTCGTGGTGCAGGATCAGTGTTCACACTGTCCACCAACTGCTGTGCCTTCACCAGTGCACCCAGGACATGAGCGGCCTCCCACAGAGAGCCTGGCCTGGCCGTGGAGCCGGCGCTGGCCCCTCTGCCCCGGGAGGTGCTCCTCTTCCGGGACCGGTCACCCTCGCGCTGCGCCCTCCAGCCATGACGTGTTTCTCTTCCAGGGACCCGGTCACCCTGGCGCTGTTGTGCAATGCCCTGGCTCGAGGCCTGATTCTCAGCTGGATCCCCACCCATGCGTCGGAGAAGTCCAAGAGACTTGTCCGTGGGAACCTGTTCCACGCCGCTCTGGACTCCAGCGTGACTGCGGAGATCAGAACCGCGGTGGAGGTTCTCACCTGGCTGCAGGCAGGGCGGGTGGGCGTGGCCACTGGCGGGGGGCGGGTCTGCTGAAGGAGAAGCCCACATGTAAGGAGTGGCAGGCGCCAGGGTCGGAGCTGACTACCTGAGTGTGAGGCGGGAAGGGGTCCCCCAGCAAGGCAGGAGACAGCAGAGCAGCAGTGCAGGGGGGGGTGGCCCTTCCAGGCACGGCAGCGCCTCCAAGATGAGCGGAGACGAAGAGAAAGGTGTGACCAGAAGGAGCAGCATAAAAGCGATGGGGATACAGACCCACTTCACGCGGGTGGGAGGGGCAACAACCCAGACAAAGCACTGGCGACCGAGTGTGCGCGCAGCGGCTGCCTGGTGGGGCTGGTATCCAGCAATGCCCGCAAGGAGAGAAACTAAGGGTCCACGTGGTAACAGAACGTGTGGCTCCGTCACCCATTTCCAACCCAAGAAAGTCTCAGGAACCCGGGAGAGACACATGCTCTTTACCGAGCCAATCCCGGGTTAGCGCACGAACACCCAGAGAGGCGGGGACAGGTCCTGCTGCATCCCTGAAAGTCCCCCAGCCCAGAAAGAAGGGTGGAGGGTCCCATGCATGGAGGCATGGGGTCCCCCAGCCCAGAGAGAAAGGCGGAGGGCCCCGTGCATGCAGGCGTGGGGTGACGAGCTGTGACCGGCCAGGGAATGTGATGGACAGAGCCGTTAGGACACTGTGCCGGGCACCATAGCCACAAATTACACACAGGACTCCATGCCCACACCCAGCAGGGCAGCGTGGAAGGCCCTGGGGCAGCCAGGCTGGTCCAGGGGCGGGGGCGCTGTGTGCACCCCTGAGTGTCTAGCCTGGGAGCCACAGGTAGGCTGTGGGACTTGGCACAGGATGTGCCTGGAGGGTGGATGGTCCTTCAACTGTGGCTGCATTAGGGTCTTCATCTCAGAAGGGCTGTTCCTGGGTGGGGACACATGAACATGGGGGGGCTGGGGGGAGAGAGGAAGGGATGGGGGCGGGGAGTCGGTGAAGGCCGAGAGTAGCACCAGGTGCATGGTGGGGCGCAGGGTGCAGCTGGCAGGGGGCGGGGCGCATGGTGGGGTGTGGCCGGCAGGGGTGGGAGGGAGTAGGACAGGAGAGCTTGGGCCGTAAGTGGGGGCGCCTGTCCTTGCTGTGTGCCGGCTCCCCCGGTCTAGCACCACCCCTCACTCACTGTGCAGCATGGCCAAGTCCCTTAGGGCTCTGCCTCTGGAGGTTGTGTGGTGATTCAGGGGTGACAGGGTGGCGGTGGAGGACTGTGCTGATGCAGGGCAGGCTGGTGGATCCGCGTGCTGTGGCTGCCGTCACTGCTGCCGGGGGGCTGGGAGGGCTCGGGGCTGCAGGAAGAGCATGGCTGGGTGGTGCACCTGGTCTCTGCAGACGGGCTCCGGGAGAGACAAGGCCCAAGCAACGCCTCCTAACTCGGGTCTGGGCTAAGCCACCAGCTCAGGACCAGCTGTCCTTCCAGGTCTGTGAGTTTGCCCTCAGCCTGACCAATGGGAACGTGCCTGAGGACATAGTGCCCCCCAACATCCGGCAGCAGCTCATCGCCACCTGGGTGAAGGCCAAGCAGCTGGCTCAGCAGCAGATTGGGGCCCGACTGGGCACCGACGAGCAGGTGCCAGGCCCAGTGTGGGCCGACCCCAGGGCCCCGGGAGGTGGGGCCCCCACATGTCCCGACCAGGGGCCCCGGGAGGCAGGACTCCAATGCGGCTGACCCCAGGGCTCTGGGAGGCGAGGCCTCCACGTGTCCTGACCAGGGCTCCGTGAGGCACCCACACACATGTCCTGACCTGCACTCTGTGAGTCTCTGCCCCACACACACATCTGGCCCCCTCCACACACACATCCTGACTGGAGCTCCACAAGCCACCCCACCATGTCCCGATCCCAGGGCTCCGTGAGGCCTCCCCTACACCTCCCACTTGGGCCTCTGTGAGTTCCCCACATACATACATCCCGACAGGGGCTCCATGAGGCTCCCCCCCCCCATGTCTCTATCCCAGGACTCTGTGAGGCCCCCCTCCACGTTCTGATCCCGGAGGTCCGTGAAGCCTCCCCCACACCTCCCAACTGGGGCTCTGTGAGGCCCCCCCCACCTCCTGACAGGGGCTCCGTGAGTCCCCACACACATCCCGACTGGGGGCTCTGTGAGGGGTGGCCCTGTCTTCCTTGGACAGCAGGGCTCCATGAGGCCCCCCACACGTCCTGACTGGGGGCTCCGTGAGGGGCGGCCCTGTCTTCCTTGGACAGCAGTAGTGAGGGAGCTGTGGTTTAGCTCAGATCCCTTTTCCTTCACAGTTTGGGGCTCTGTTTCCCCATCAAGGTCGCTGCCCAGGCACCCTCACAGGATAGGACAAGAGGGTGTCTCTTTCTTCCCTGGCCCCTGGCAGCTGGACGTGGGTGTCATCTGGAGCCAATGCCCTGGGGAGCCTCACCACCTTAGTCCCACTAACGATGCCTCGGTGGGGGACACTGAGTGTGGCCACAGGGACAGTGGGGGAGGCGGGTGGTGGCCCCCACCCCTTCTCAGCCCAGGTCTGGGTAAACCTGTGTTCTGGCAACCTCAAGGCCACGTGACCCCCAGATGCCAGGCAGGTGCCCTGTTTCTTAAACCCTCCCCCCACGTCTGGGGGAGGGAGGCGGAGGGCCACAGGTTAGGAAGGGGCAGGGCTCTGTGGCCAGCAGGATGAAGACAAATGCCTCTAGTGGTTATTGTGAGTCCCGCCCTCCCAGTGCCCTGCCAGTGCCCCCCAGTGTCCCCTTCAGCACCCCCCTGTGACCCGCCAGAGCTTGCCACTAGAGCCCTCCCAGAACCCCCTGGAATCCCCCGGGTGGCTCCTTGGAGCCCCCCCAGAATCCCCCTAGTAGCCCCCTTGGAGCCCCCCAGAACTCCCCCAGTGGCCCCTTGGAACCCCCCCAGAATCCCCCTGGTAGCCCCCCAGAACCCCCCAGAACCCCCCAGTGGCCCCTTGGACCCCCCGGTGGCCCCCTGGAGCTCCCCGGAACCCCCCCAGTGGGCCCCCAGAACCCCCAGGAACCCCCCCGGTGGCCCCTTGGACCCCCCAGTGGCCCCCCAGAACCCCCAGGAACCCCCCTGGTGGCCCCTTGGAGCACCCCTGGAACCCCCGGTGGCCCCCCGGAGCTCCCTGGAAGCCCCGGTGGTCTGTCAGCGCCCCTCCGCACCCTGAACCACAGTTGGCTTCCTTCCCTAGACTGTGGACAAGCACATCACCTTGGTGACAAAGGTGCTCGTCGCTCTGGAGATGTACTCATGCAATGGGCTGGGCCTCATGGAGTTCAGTGTGCCTCCCCTGGCACAGGTGGGTGTCACCTGACGCCTGACACACACCTGACACGCCCAGCATAGGTGGGTGTCACCTGATGCTTCATACACACACCTGGCGCAGGGTCACCTGACACCTGCCACACCCAGCATAGGTAGGTGTCAGCTGACACTTCCAGCACAGATAGGTGTCTCGGGACTGACATGTGGCCAGTCTGTTGAAGTTTTAACCTGTTACACAATTCAGTAATGGCACTGGCTGGTCTTGCCAATGGCTGCTGCACGCCAGACACTGACTCAGCGTCTTGCACAAATTTGAGAGAGAGCTTTACTTTGATTCACAGGCAGGAGAACTGGGTTCTGAAGGGCGTGCCCCAAACGACACCGCTGCCAGGTAGCAGACCCAGAACCAGTCCCCGTGTGGCACCCGCTTGTGCTCCTTTAGAGCAGGTGGTGCTTCGGCTCAGTGGGCAGCACCCTCCCCCTGCCTCTCCCTCTCCTTGCCGTCCCCGTGCCCACGGCACGGCCTTGTCTGACAGTCACCACTGGCCTCCGGGCACAGCAGTGCCTGGGATCTGCCATGCTCAGCACATCCCCTGGGGCCACAGCTCACAGTTGGCTCCTGTGGGCAAACAGGGTTTGCAGGTGCGCACAGCACACCCACCAGATGCTGTTCGGAACCCGTGTCACTAACCATGGTGCCTTCCCCTCTGCTCCCCAAAGCTGGTGAAAATGGCCTCTGAGTGCAACTGGTCAGACCCTCTGGTGGAGCTGCAGACCCTCACTCGGCTCACCCACTTCACCTACGCTGCCCACGACCATGAAATCACCATGTCGTGTTCACACAAGGCCATCGAGATGGGTATCAAGTACCTGAGGATATATGCACCGTAAGTAAGCACTCTGGGGTGTAGGGTCTGAGGACCCCAGTGCTGCCACTCCCTTCCATCCAGCACTTTTGCTAGATCAGGGTGCGGGGAAATGGACAAAGGTGTTGTCAGTGAGCTAGATCCCAGAGGTGACGTTCACAGTCGATGAATCAGGAAGTGCAGGTAGAAGCCAAGTGTGTGGAGGTAAGCACAATGTGCCACAAGAGAGCTACGGGTGTGGGAGCCCCTGCAGGGAACAGGCTGGGAGCAGGAGAGGGGGCAGGCAGACTGACTCACACGGGCTACTTTGATAAAAATCCAAAGTTATCTCTGAAAGACTCTACAAAGACATTCCTATGGAGAGCGGTGCCTGCCTGCAGTTGCTCCTGTCTCCCTGTGACTCAGATGGATGGGGGACCCACCAGGCACACAGGATGGCCTGGACAGCAGGCCACAGGCTGGCTGGAGTTGACCGGCCTGGACAGCGGGCTGCAGGCCGGGCCTCAGGTTGGCTGGAGTCGGCCAGCCCAGACAGCGGGCTGCAGACTGGCCGGAGTTGGCGTGCTCTGCCTCTGCCAGTTTCATCAGCGATTCTTGAACTGAGTTGGATTTTTTCAAAGCAACGCCTGTCATAAATAAGCTAACGCTGTGAATACACACATGCTGTGAGTGACAGTGAGACACACCTGGTTTTCAAGCTAGACCTTTGAACATTCATTCATAGACCACTGCTGCCCCCTGGTGGTAGTGACTGTCACTGCATCCAGTGGCCTTGCTCCTCCAGTCTGGACTTCACTGTGGTTCCCTAGGTGCTCAACCACTTAGGAGAGTGTCTCTGTCCAGGTCTGGGCCTGGGAGCCAGGAGGCTGAGACACAGAGGTGAAGCTCTCACAGTGAGACCCCACACTGTCCAGGGATCATGCTGGCCAGCCACATGCATGCATCGTAGCTGATTCCAAAACCAAAACCCCAAACTCATTGCCATCGAGTTGATTCCTACTCATAACGACCCCCTTTGGGTTTCCAAGATGGTAAATCTTTTCAGAAGTAGATTGCCATCTTCGTTCTGTGGAGTGGCTGGCGGGTTTAAACCACCAGCCTTCTGGTTAGCAGTCAGATGCCATAGGCGCTGAACCATCAGAGCTCCTTGGCCTTTTTAAAAGGCACTTTATGAAGAGCTACACACGATCCAAATTTCCACGGGAATTGACTTCCCTGCTTGGTAGTTACACGTGCAGGTCCCAGTGCACAGTGTGTGAGTCACTGCTGTGACTGTACCTCACAGGACCGAGCAGCAAAGCCACGTTCCGTCCTCGGGCAAACAATGCCGTTACCCACGTGTCCTTCAGTGTTCAGTCTGACACTGAGCTGTCCAGTGAGCTTCCGAGACACCTGGCCACTGGCAGGAGCCCATCAGTGTGGGCTGGCCTCTGGGACAGGGCCGCTTCTGCCGTTCTGTGGCTGAGCTGTCCCCAAGGCCAGCCCAGATTTGGGGGAGGGAGACCGTGCCACACCATGCAGGGAAGGCCTACAGCGCCCACTGTGAGTAGGTGGGTGGGAGCCATGGCACTCCCTGCCTCACAGGCCCCTCAGGGCTGAAGGTGTCTCCCCACCCAGGCCCGAGTCTTGCTTCGTGGCGGAAATGCTGAGCACGGTCGCGTGCATCCAAGGCCAGAGCATCATGGCCAACCTGAAGGGGCAGAAGCAACAGCGTCTGATGGCGGCGAAGGCGTTCATTGAGAGTGCCAGGTGTGCACCTGGCGAGCTGGCGGTGGTCGCGGAGGGTGGGGTCTGCTGCATTGCCGAGGATTGGACGGCGCCGTAGTGGCTGCTTGGGGCCACCGTCCCTGAGCGAGGGTGGCACTCAGTGCTTCCCCACACCCTCGCCAGGCCTTGGCCCCCCTCCAGCCCCGTGATGACTGGGACCCTGTGTGACCCACCCATGTGCCTGGGAGAGGCCGCCGGGCAGGCCTTTGATGGGGGTGGGGAAGTGTGCTCCCCAGCAGAGCCTGCCGTCCAGTGAGGGGGTGGGTGCACTGGCGGAGTGGCCCCAGGGACGGCGGGTCCTCTTTGAGCAGAAGACACTGGGGGGGGCTTCTGGCAGCAGCAGGAGTGTGGGTCCTGGAGCAGAGAGTGGGGCTTTGGGCAGCAGCGGTGCCCCCCAACCCTGACTCCACCCCTCCTCCCCTGTCCCCCCAACTCTTGTGTCCCTCACCACCTTCCCATGCCCTCTAGTGTGCCCCCGAGTCCCACTCCCCATGTCCCCACTCCCCGGCTCTCATGCTCCCCACCCCCCTCCCGTGCCCCCCCATCCGTCCTGAGCTGCCCTGGCAGTGAGGTATAATGCCACGGACCATGGGAGCCCCTTGGAAGCTGGGGGCGGAGCTGAAGGCTGGGGAATCCCATGCCCAGCCTTGCCCCATGCAGCCCAGAAGGGTGCTACTATGGGTGCATGGCAGGTGGGACCAGGGAATGGGACATAGGATCGCTGGTGACAGGGACAAGCTGCAGGGGCCACCGAGGGCTAGGTGTTGCTGCCTGGTCACTGAGCAGCTCTTTCAGGTTTGGGGGCATTGCCGGGAGCAGCGCTCTGGTCATGCTGGCTGCCAGGCACTACTGGAATGCCTGCCTCCCCCTGCTGTCCTCGAGGGTCAACCGGAAGATGGTCAAAGGCGCGGTGCAGAGGATCATTACCATCATCAACAAGACAGAGGCCAAGAAGCAGGTGTGGCCTGGGCACATGGGCCAGCCTCCTAAGACGGCAAGGGCGGTGAAAATGGGGCATCACGGAGGCAGTGAGGACGGTGGGGCTCCCTACTGAGCTCCAACTCCACTTCCCCAACCTCCTGCATGTGTGTGGGGGTGGCCCCCAGGCCTGCACTTTACCTGGAGTGAAGAGCTCAGGGACAAAAGGCAGGCCAGCAAGGTGGCAGGCCCAGACCAGGCAGCAGTGACAGGTTGAGACTCAGCCCCCAGCCAGCACTGGGACAGAAGGCCAGCAGCAGGGACTCCGTGCCGGGCCTGGGCCTGACTGATGGCCACGCCTGGCACAGAGCTGATGTCAGAGACGGTCAGAGACTGAAAATCATGGCCCCACATGAGAAACCAGTCACTGCTCACTGTCTCCTCACCAAGCTGGTCCTGACCACCGTTCTAGGCCATCGAATCAACTGCCAAGGGTTTTCAGCGGCTGGTGTTTCAGAAGCAGGTGGTCAAGCCATTTTTTCCAGCTTTAGCAGATAAAGTTAGTTGGGAAAGACCTCACCTGTCATCACATGTCTACAGAGTGAACCACCCCAACAGAGTTGAGTCATCAGACATAGACCACCAGCTCTGTCTGCAAAGAAAGTTCACCCTCAGGCCCTTCACAGGGAATGATTACTGAGCCCTGCTGTAGATGTGTGTGACTGTCCCTGTCAGCTGAGCCTTCCTGTAGACACGTGTGACTGTCCTTGTCAGCCAAACCCTGCTGTAGACACGTGTGACTGTCCCTGTCAGCCAAGTCCTGGTATAGACATGTATGACTGTCGTCAGCTGAGCTCTGATCTAGACACATAACATCCCTGTCAGCTGAGCCTTCCTGTAGACACGTGTGACTGTCCTTGTCAGCCAAGCCCTGCTTTAGATGCATGTGGCTGTCAGCCGAGCCCTGCTGTAGATGTGTGTGACTGTCCCTGTCAGCTGAGCTGTGATCTAGACACATGACATCCCTGTCAGATGAGCCCTGCTGTAGACGTGTGCACCTGTCATTGTTAGCTTCCACTGAGTGGACCCCAATTCATGGTGACTCCATGCATGCGGGGTCCAAGCATGGTGACCACTGGCTGGTTCTCCCTGAGCCTTGCAGCGTGTGTGGGACTTAGCACAGGTCCAGTCCTTCTGAAGACGCTTGCACTTGCATTTCTGAGTTGTGAAGTGAACGAGCTCAGGTCATGCTGAGGAGCAGCGTGTGTGTGTGTGTGTGTGTGTGTGCATGCTTGCATGTGTGCACAGTGGGACTCTCCTCTCTGAGGGGAGCATTCCCAGGGGAAAATGTCCCCAGGTCTCTGTGAGCATTCAGAACTGTGGCTGCTGTTTCTGCAGTCAGACATTTGGCAGCTGGAAGGCAAAACAGGGCAAGAGAAGTGTGACTTTCCAGCGTGTGCCGTGTTGCTTCTTCTCCAGGAGAAAGGGAAGACATTGCTCTTACACCAGTGGCCAACATCAGACTTCCAGAGTGGAGGGACCACTGAAGGGGATTTCCTCCCAGGTCTGTAACCTCGAGACAGAAGGACAGGCTGGGCCCCCTCTGGGAAAGGCCCCTCACAATCCCGGCAGCAGCAGACAGCATTGGCCGTCCCATGCACAGTGATGCTGGCAGCGCTGCTTATGCCTGACCCCATTCGGTCCCACGAACTCTCCACATCGCCCATGAGGAAGGCCATGCCCAAGACAGAGGGTTAAGCCCTTGCCCAGGCCACCAGTGCCCTAAGCCAGCACTCTGAGCATGGTGCACCAGCTGGGTAGGCCACCCTCACTGTAGTGCACTTCACAGCTGGTGCATTTTTAACAAATGGAAGGTTTGTGACGACCCTCACCAAGCAAGTCCTTTGGCACCATTTTTCCAACAGCACATGCTCACTTCATGTCTCTGTGTCCCATTTTGGTCATGTTCACGATATTTCCAACTTGGAAAATCCATGGTGCAGTTCCACTCTGTCCTCTAGGGGCGCCGTGACCAGAAGCCATTGATGACAGTGGGTTACGATGCACAAGTCTTCCTGTGTTTTGAAAACGTTTACAAATGCTGTGCGTAGAAAAGCGGTCTCTACCTTTTAGTATGTCATTGTCTATTTGAAAGCTCACTGCCATCAAGTCAATTCCAACCTGAGTTTCCAAGGCTGTAAATCTTTCTGGAAGCAGAGTGCCCCATCAGTGTCCCATGGAGCACCTGGTGGGTTCAAGCTACCAACCTTTTCATTAGGAGCCAAATACCTTAATCACCACACCCCCAGGGCTCTCTGGTGTCTACTTAGGGAGGGAAAAATTTGACTTATAATAATGAGCAAAGTGTACGCCTAGGTGTAATTAAATACTAAGTTGAGTGCTAAATCCCAGTAGTCAAAATTGGGTGCTATTGCCACAAAGTAGGTTGGAGCCAGTGGGAGAAGCAGTGTTGCACACAGTGTGGGCGTGTGGAGATGGGGCAGGGAGTACAGGGTGGGGGGGCAGGGAGCCATAGGGTGGGCCTGTGGAGATGGGGCAGGGAGCACGGGGAGGGCAAGGAGCCATAGGGTGGGCATGTGGAGATGGGGCAGGGAGCATGGGGGGGCAGGGAGCTCAGAGAGGGTGTGTGTGGAGGACAGTGTGAGCACTGCCTCAGGTCTCACTCTATGGGAGAGCAGAGCCCTGTCTGTACTCCATTCCCCAGCTTCAGGTAGGTTGCTTGGCTAGAGTTTGAAAAATTCAAATTATTGAAATCAAAAAGCAGGAAGTCCTGTTAGGCATAGCAGCTGCTTGTATAGATCTTTCTAAACTATAAAGGGATCACAGAACCCACTTTCAGATATACAAATATGTTAGTTCCCTGAATAATGAAAAAATGCAGAATGTTCATAATGGACTGGAATCAACAAGACTAGAAGTTGGTTCTTTGAAAAGATTAATAAAATCAACAAATTTTACAAAGGAAAAGAAGGCCAGAATACAAACACAAGAATAAGAAATGAAATGAGCGACATCACAACAGAACCAACTGAAGTAAAAAGAATAATGTTGGGATACTATGAAGAACTGTACTCCAACAAATTTGGAAACCTAGATGAAATGGACAGATTTCTGGACACATACTACTTACCTACATAACACAGACTGAGGTGGAAATTTTGAACAGACCCATAACAAAAGAAAAAATTGAACAAGTCATTAAAAAAATTACCAACAACAGAAAAATGTCCTGGCCTAGATGGTTTCACTGGATAATTCTACCAAATGTTCAGAGAAGAACTGACACCAATCCTACTCAAACTATTCCAAAACTTACAAAAGGATGGAATCCTCCCAAATTCATTTTATGAAGCAAGCATAACCTTGGTACCAAAACTAGGCAAAGACATCACTCAAAAGGAAAACTACAGACCAATATCCTTCATGAATATAGTTGCAAAAATCTTTAACAAAATCCTAGACAATAGACTCCAAGAACATATTAAAAAAATACATAATGACCAAGTGGAGTTCATA